TTTGCGGCCGTGGACATCCCGGCCAAGTTGGCCTCGGTGCTGGTCATCAGCTGCGTGGGGCGGAGGGTGGCCCAAGGTGGCTCCTTGGCGCTCGCTGGCGTCTGCATCCTCGCCAACATCATTGTGCCAACGGGGGGGTGGAGGGGTGGTGGGAGGGATGGAGGAGAATGGGATGGAAGGATGGAGGAGAATGGGATGGAGGACAAGGGGATGGAGAACAATGGGATGGAGGATGGAGGACAAGGGGGTGGAGGACAACAGGATGGAGGACAATGGGATGGAGGGATGGAGGACAACAGGATGGAGGACAACAGGATGGAGGACAACAGGATGGAGGGATGGAAGACGATGGGATGGAGGACAAGGGGATGAAGGAATGGAGGACAACAGGGTGGAGGACAACGGGATGGAGGACAACGGGATGGAGGGATGGAGGACAAGGGGATGAAGGAATGGAGGACAACGGGATGGAGGACAAGGGGATGGAGGGATGGAGGACAATGGGGTGGAGGACAACGGGATGGAGGGATGGAGGACAAGGGGATGAAGGAATGGAGGACAACGGGGTGGAGGACAACGGGATGGAGGATGAAGGACAAGGGGATAGAGGACAATGGGATGAAGGACAAGGGGATGGAGAGATGGAGGACAATGGGATGAAGGACAAGGTGATGAAGGTCAAGGGGATGAAGGCCAAGGGGATGGAGGGATGGAGGAAGAAGAGTACGTCCCCATCCCCAGAGCTGCAGACGCTGCGCATGGCCTTGGCCGTGATCGGGAAGGGATCATTGGCCGCCTCCTTCAACTGCGCCTACATCTTCACCGGAGAGCTCTTCCCCACCGTCATCAGGTGGGTGGTTGTCACCTCCAGGGGTTGGCCCCACCGCAGTCCCCCCTCCCCTGTCCATCCGTCCCCTCATCCACCTGCCCACCCACTCATGGAGTCATCCTCCACCCACACACCCATCGACTTGCCCAAGGGCTCACCCACCCACGCAAACAGCATTCCAGGCGCCAACCAACCCACCCAGCCCTCCACCAGCCCCTCCAGCCATCCAACACCTCTCCATCCATCCATCCATCCATCCATCCAACCACTTCTTCACCCTTCATCCATCCACCCATCCCTCGACCCCTCCATCTATCCAACCACCTCCAACCATCCATCCATCACTTATCCATCCAAGCACCTCTCCAACCATCCATCCATCCCTTGACCCATCCATCCAACCATCTCTCCAACCATCCATCCATCATCAGCCCCTCCATCCCTCAACTCCTCTTTCTATCCAAACACCTCTCCAACCACTTCTCCATCCATCCATCCATCCACCCAACCATCCACCCAACATCTCCAACCATCCATCATCCATCCAACCATCCATCCAACCAGCTCTCCATCGAACCATCCATCCTTCAACCCCTCCAGCCATCCAACCACCTCCAACCATCCATCCAACCAGCTCTCCATCGAACCATCCATCCTTCAACCCCTCCAGCCATCCAACCACCCCTCCAACCATCCATCCAGCCATCATCCAAACATCCATCCATCATCCAACCATCCAACTATCATCCATCCATCGTCCATCCATCCATCCATCATCCCACCACCCATCCATCCTCCATCTAACCATCCATCATCCAACCATCCATCCATCCATCAAACCATCCATCCACCATCCATCCATTATCCAACCATCCATCCATCATCCATCCATCCATCCATCATCCATCCAACCAACCATCATCCAACCACCTCTCCACACCCACCACCCACCCCCCTCTCCAACCACCATCCATCCATTATCCATCCATCCATCATCCAACCACCTCTCCAACCACCATCCAACCATCATCCATCCAACCATCATCCAACCACCATCCCACCACCCATCCATCCCCCTCCTCTCCCTCTCCGCGCTGCAGGCAGACGGGGATGGGCCTGGGGGGCACCATGGCGCGCGTGGGCAGCATGGTGGCCCCGCTGGTGCGCATGGCAGCCGACGTCACCCCAGCACTTCCCCTCCTCATCTATGGGGCCGCCCCCATCATCTCCGCCATCGCCACCTGCTTACTGCCCGAGACCCGCCACACGCCCCTGCCCGAGACCGTCCAGGAC